AGAAGTCCCATTAGGAATAAATTTAAACTTCTTTTCCTATTCCTCAAATGCTGACAACTAAGGCTAGTCCTGGGCCAACGTAAGATTTGGAAGAGCTGATCCCCAGCTACTATACCTGCCAAAGTCACTGTAGTGACTTTCTAAAAGAGGTAACTATACCTCTTCTTCCTCCAAACTTATAAGAAAGTAGTTTTTCTTCTAGAAATAATGATTCCTGCCTCTCACCATGAATAACTGGTAACCTGCTGAAATTTACAGAGCTTTCACATCACATGTGGACATTACATAAAGATGCAAGGTTAGTAAATTAACAGCAGTACTTGTCCTAGGTTGTAGTATTTACATTACATCCCTTACTATATTAACACATCTTAAGCACAGAATTGCTTTGGCTGTTTCCTGGACAATACATTAAGGAAAGTGGACTTTGAATCTTATCTTATTTGTAATCTAAGACAGACCCACAGATCTCTCACATTTAAGTATTTGTTCCTATTTCTTGTGTATAGGTGCTGAGATAGCGTTTTAGTGGTAGAGAACAAAGCAAATACATATGTGGAAGGAAACAGCAGTTTCAAAGCCAATGTACCTTTAGCATGTAGTAGAAGGGGAACCAGGAGAGGAAGAGATCAGAGAAGAATTCAGCAATGCTGAACACGCCATATACTACCCAGTAGGTCAGCCACTGGGTATCATCATCCTTATTGGGACTCTCAATGGCTTTCATTCTGAAAGGCAATGCAAAAAACGTGTATCATTTAGTTAAGATCTCCATGACACATTCCAAACATTATTCTTTCACAGCATGTTAATACTACTGAGAAACATATGTACAGCATCAATAGCTGTAAGAAATACAACATATAGACACTATGTGAAGACATCAGAACATGCTACTGTAAACACTTGTTTCCAGCTTCTGGCTAGCACTAGCAAACACTGCCCATGGTAGGCTGCCAGAGCCTCCCCTCTTCTCATCTAGTTCTCCTGAGAACTAGAGCAATCACCACTCCCAGGCCAAGGTCTAGATATATCAGGAAGGATTCTCTAATGGTGAATAGCTATGTGTGTGTCCATGCATGCGTGCATGTGTCCATGTGTGTGCACTGCTACCAGGGTTTGAACTCAGGGCCTTGTCCTCTTTCTCAACTTTTTTTTACTCATAATTAGTACTCTACCAGTTGAGTCATATCACAAGTCCCACATTTTGGAAGTCTCATTTGGGCTGGCTTTGAACTGTGATCCTCAGATTTCAGCCTGAGTAGCTACGATTACAGGCGTGAGACACCAGTACCAGGCATCTTAAGTACTTTTGACAGCTGAAATGCATAGCTGAGAAGACAGAGGTCCTCATAAAAGAACTTTCAGAAGGCAGGTCAGGTACTACCTCAAGTCCATAGCATGCTGCATAATAAACAGGGGGAAAACCTTAGGGTCTTCATTTAGTTCAGACTGTCTTTTTGTGATTCTCAGGCAATAGACCATCCTCCCTCATCATGACATGACATTTTCAACCTCAACAACTACTTAAGACAAAATTCATTATGCAAGTGGATGAAATTAAGTGTTAAGTAATCTTTTACCTCTGAACCACAGAATTGTCCTTCAAGTTCTAGGAATTTCTTTATTCTAAACCCTTTTTTGGGGGGGGAGGGGGGTCCGGTCGTGGGGCCTGAACTCTGGGCCCAGGCGCTGTCCCTCAGCTCTACAGTTCAAAGCTAGCACTCTACCACTTGAGCCACAACACCACTTCTGGCTTTTTTTTTTCTGCTTATGTGGTGCTGAGGAATCAAACACAGGGCCTCATGCATGCAAGGCAAGCACTCTACCACTGAGGCACCTTCCCAGCCCTCTAAACCCTTTCTTAACCACTGAGGCACCTTCCCAGCCCTCTAAACCCTTTCTTATGCTAACCTAAAATATATCTGTATATCTAGCATAGCTGAGTTGCGCTAAAACCATAAAGTAGAAGA